CAGTCAGGGAGGACACAGGCCAGAGAGGACCCACCAATAGTCAGGGAGGACACAGGCCAGGGAGAACCCGCCAGCAGTCGGAGGACACAGGCCAGGGAGGACACAGGCCAGGGAGGACTGACCAACAGTCAGGGAGGATACAGACCAGGGAGGACCCACCAATAGTCTTGAGTAGAGCTGAGGACCAGCCAAATGGAAGTTCCAGATCTCTGCTGGGGTGGAGGGTGGGTAGGTGGCGACTGCTCAGCCCAGCCAAACTCATGGAGGCCAGGTCAGAGGGAGACAGAGAAGACTGGGGAGCAGCAGTCAGGGTCCTGCCCTAGGCCTAGAAAGCTTTCTGTCCTATTCACGCTGCTCCCTGTTCTCAGGTCAAGACTGCCCCAGTCTCTGAGAAGTACTGGGTTTCCAGATGTGCCGGGATGTCCCACACTATCTCCAGCAAGGCTACTACTTACCTGTCAGGCTTCCTCTGGGCTGCACAGTCTCTGAGCACAGAAGCAGCAGGAAGCCCCAAACGGGAGAGGGTTGGTCTGAGGCTTTTCAGTCTTCACACCTTTGGGCCAGTCATCAACTCCCCAGCCTCAGCTTCCTCTTCTATGGACAAGGGAAAGCAATAGAGAAAAGCCATGAGAAAGACAGGGGCTGATGACATATATCCAAAGCCATCTAAGATAGGCCTTCTCTCTTCAGGCATTGCACTGACAGACCATTTGACAGGTCTATGGGTCTTTCTGTGTCTTACAGACGTCCTTCATTCTTCCCAAAGTGACCCATGCTCAACAGTTTGGGACCTCTGTGGGGAAGCTGTGTTAAGGCAGAAAAGTCATAGTGGGAACATAACTGGGGTCTCCCAGGATGTGGATAAAGTGACAGAGTTTCTGATGGGGAATAAACTATGAGAGAAAACCCCTCAGGGCTATTCACTGTGGGTGAGGGCATCTTGGAAGTCATGGCTAAGTGGCTGAGTTCTGAGCAAGAGGCAGGTTCTACAGCTCATCCAAGTGACCTGGGGACACTTCCACAGCATGGGGTCATCTTCACTATTGCGTCATCGATCCTCATTACCAGCCCCATGTTATTGGGAAAGAGGGACCTGAGATTTCCTCAGGCTAAATCCAATACACCATCTCCTGGTCAGTACAACCAGTATAGGATGAGTGTGGCCAGGAGGATGGGATATAGGAACCAGCCCCTGTGTGTGCCCGCTCACTGTGGATCCTCTGCTGGTGGCTCCAGCAAAGGGTGTGTATTGAGTTTTCTGAGCCAAGTCCAAAACAGTGTTGGTGAGGCCAGGGCCTGAGACAAACAGCACATCACAGGATCATCATGACAATCTGCCCATTTGTAAGGTCTCTCAGACGCTGGAGGAAGGCAGCCTGCAGTGAGCGGCAAAGTCCTACAGCAGGGATCCACTGGGCGGGGTGTCTCTGTTGGGCCTGCTGGGAGAGGTCAGGAAGGCCTCTCAGGAGTGAGGCTGGAGCTTAACTTTGCCACAAGGGACCACCCAGCATAGGAGGGCCCCACACCAGAGTATCCTGCTTCATCTGTGGAACATAGGAATTCAGTGAGTGGAGCAGACAGGTCTCTGTGTTGAACATCAAACTCCCCTCCCCTGGACTTTCTGGGAGTCCCACTATTACCTTCCTGACCATCTCACGCCTCTGTTTCAGCTGAAGATAATATGGCTTCCCTGCTTCCACTGAAGACAACATGGCCTCACTATTTCCATGGCAACCAGAGGCACAGGGGCAGGAAAAAAGTAACCTCGAGGTTGACAGGGTGGGAAACCCAGCCTGGGATCCCCAAGAATTCAGAATCCCACAGCTTGGATAATTCATACAGTGAAATGTCCCTAAAGGAAGCCCAGGCAGATTCCAGCAGCAGCCTCCTCCTCCCAGGGCCCCCAGGTAGGGCTGTTCCAGTTATACACGACACAAAGCAGCCTCTCTAGGTGACCATGTACTCGGAAGACAGATTTATTTGTCTGCATTGCTCATACGTTTTATTGCAACTCTGCGGCTCCGAGGGTAGATCCGTGGTGTGTTTGTTATGAAAACAGTGATTTACGGCAGCGATGGTCTGTCTTACAAGATGAGTGCGCTCCATCTATCACAGAGGGTGTGGAGGACGGTGCCCACGTGGGTCTCATGACTGCCCTCTCTCTGCAGTTTTTCATGTTCATCCTGGTCATCTTCTTGGTAGAGCTCTCAGCAGCCATCCTGGCCTTCATCTTCAGGGAACACGTATGTACCCCTCAGCTTTCCACCCTGCTACCCCTGCCGCCCACTGAGCTCTGGGGGCCTCCTCAGAGAGCCTTTGAGCTACCTGTCTCACGTCCTGTGCCACAAGCCTAAACGTGACCTGCACCCCTGGGAGGGCCAGAGCACCCAGCCCAGTGAAGTCTCCTCCTGTAGGAGTATTTCCAGAAGGGGTACCTGTGGGTTCCCTCTCTAGCTGGTTCTAGAATTTATATCCAACCCAGTGACAGCCTGTTCGTGGGTGGCACATGGCCAGGCGGTTGGAGAAGACAGTCTCAGTCTGGGCATGTGGTGTGCCAGGCTAGGCTACCAGCCTCTCTGATTAGCCTACTGCATGGGCCATTCATTCCAGAAACTTCCATCAGCTCCTTATCATGAGCCTAGTGGACAAGGCCTGGCACTACAAAGGCCTGAACTCCAAACAGGAGGGCAGGAAGGATAAGATACTTGGGCTGGCCTGGGACAAGGAGTCAGCCTGAGGAAGATGTTGAAAACACGGACTTTGAGGACATAGCTGGGAGCTATGGGTAATCAAAGGCTCCCTCGTTACCCATACTTGGCTTCTTGTAGGTTGGGCCTGGCACCTGTTCATTCTGAAGGATGAGATGACAATCGTCCCCCACCCACCTCCCCATGCTCATCCTCTGAGAAGAGCCGCAAAGCTGAGCAGGGGTCCCAGTGTGTTCCATCCTGGGGTTAGCTGAGGCCTGCGTATGTGCCATCCTTGTCATAACAGTGGCCTGTGATGACACAGCAAGGCCCCAAACCTTGGGAAGGGGTGCCTGCCTAAAATGAACAACTTAGGATGACCTGGGAGGCCAGGCTGAGAAGACTCAGCTCCCTCTCCTCTGTCCCCAGCTCACCCGTGAGTTCTTCACCAGGGAGCTCACCAAGCACTACCAGGGCAACAATGACACGGACGTGTTCTCTGCCACCTGGAATTCGGTCATGATCACAGTGAGTGTCCCTTCCCATGCCATCCTGGGATGCATGAGCATTCAAAGCCATAACGTTGACAGGGAGGACGACCTCTATGGCTCTCCCATTCCCCTGCCTAACCAGACATCAGCAATCAATCAAGAATCACCAATCCCACTCCTGACCTGTGAATCATCGTATGTGAAGCACGCTAAGCTGTCACAGCTAGCCACTCACAGTACAGACTCTCCACTGCCCCTGCATTAAGTCCTCTAGACATAGCCATTGTCATTGGTCACTGATGTTAATAATAATCAATACAGGGGCTGGGAGATGGTTGAGTCTGTTAGCGCTTGCTGTGCTGTCACGAGGACCTGAGTTTCATCCCCAGCACCCATGTGAAAAGCCGGCTGTTAGGATGTATGCTCATAGCCCCAACACGGGAAGGAGGGGTGGAGACAGGAGAGACAGGGGCTACTGCCCAGCTAGTCTAGCCTAATCTGGGCCCCAGGTCCCATGAAAGCTCCCCTCTCAAAAGATAAGACGCAGTTGGGTAGTGGTAGCACAAGCCTTTCATCCCTACACTCGGGAGGCAGAGGCAGGCAGGTCTCTGAGTTCAAAGCCAGTCTGGTCTGCAGCGTGAGTTCCAGGACAGCCAGAGCTACACAGAGAAACCCTGTCACACACAAAATAAAAAAGGACAGCACCTGAATAATGACACCTGAGATTGTCCTCTGGCCTCCATGCGTACATCCACATGTGTCTCCACACACACATACACATGCCAAATGTAAAAATAGTAATTAGCATATCGTGATATGAAATCATAGCAACTGTATATGAAGTGCTTACCAGGTGCTGGTGAGGTAAGGGATACACTGCCATGTTCTTCTTACAAAGGGTACCCTGAAGCACAGACACACTGGGCATCACCACTGTCACACAGAGGGCAGAGGGAGCAGGGTCCTGGCAGAGCCTGACGTCCCCTCTGGTCCAGCTCTAGCTCCCTCTTTCGGCTCTCTTCTAGTTTGGCTGCTGTGGGGTCAATGGGCCCGAAGATTTCAGGACGGCCTCGGTGTTTCGGCTGCTGACACCTGACAGTGAGGTGCCCAAGGCCTGCTGCCGGAGGGAACCCCAGACTCGGGATGGAGTACTGCTGAGCAGGGAGGAGTGCCAGCTGGGGAGGAGTCCATTCATAAACAAACAGGTACCACTCTGTTTTCAGCATGGAGACACTCCACAAATAGGGCAAAGCTGGAGGGAAGCAATGTCTGCCCAGAGGGTCTGAAGGTGGCGAGCAGATTTTTAGACAGAGTTCTGGCTACGGTATTGGCTCCTATTCATGCTTCTGAGATCCAAGGAAGTGGGCAGAGGATCATATGGACAGGGAATGAGTTGGCTTCAGGCTGGTGGGGTGGGAATTTGGGATATGGTTCCAAGGTGAATTTTCCAAACTTCTCAGAACAAAAGTTGGGGCAAAGAGGTGCTCCATAAGTATATACTCTGTGTATGAGGAAACTTATTCTGGCCAATTGGGGCATTTCTTGATCCCAGGGGAGTGGACTCTCATTGACCTGACCCTAGACGATCAGAGAAGTGTCTAGACATCTTTCTTCTCTTGTAATCTGAGGGTTTCATCTCAGTCTTGTTTTTCTTAGAAAACAAAGGTCCCAGCTTTGTCCCCTCAACAAGGAGCACAGCTCCACTCCACCCTTAGCCCCCTCCTTCCTGCTGACCAGAGGCCCTGCTCTCCTTAAAGAGAAGAGACAGAAAGAGTTGGGTGGAGCATGCAGGGAGGAAGGAGGGGGTGACGGTGAGAACCACCCCCAGGGTTTCTGCCCTGGCCAGACTTTGCTGGGAGAATTCTAAGTGCCGAGGAACTGGTGGAACACAAGAAAGAAGGCCCCACTCCCATGGGGATCCAGTCTGGGGGAGGTGGGAGATGGTGAACCATGAGCAAACATGATCCTTGCCCACGGTGCTGGGTGTGAGATGACAGTGGCCTGAAGAAGTGCTGGAAGGTGCACCGGCTGGTGTTAAGGGTCTCAGAGTCTCAAAGAAGGGCATCATGAGCTGAGACCTGACCCCACAGCCTCAAGTTAACACCAAGAACTCAGCTCTTGTCCCTGTACCTTGCCTGGGACAGGCCAGAGCTCGGCTCCTCTGCCAGGCATTCTGTTTTCCTACCCCAGGGAAGAGACAGAAATAAAGATGGTAAGCACGGGAGACACAGATGCTATGGAGGACAGGCCACTGAAGGCTCGGCTCTCGGGGACCTGTGTGAGGAGCAAATGGGATTTGGGGAGCACCAAGGCTGTGAGGAGTCCACAGCTGACAGCTGAGAGGTCTAAGTTGTTACCTAGTCACTGGAAGCCAAGTCTGCTGACCCAAGGGCCCCTTGCCCCTTTTCCTGCTGGGGAAAAAAGTCCACCACAGCTCAGGAATATGAGGCAGAAGCCTTGCCTCTCCTCTATCCCTCGCAGGTCCTAGCATCACACATTTAGCTAAGGGGATATGAGCAAAGAACATTTGAGCAACTGAGTCACACCCTTGTGAGAAAGTGTGACACCCCACTTCCTTCAGAATGCAGCCACCCAGGACCTTGCAGAGGACAGGGAGCTCTGGCGTGGCAGGAGATCTACAAAGAAGGAGCAGAATTTCCAGAGAAGATGCACAATTTCCTCACTGAAGGAGCTGCTGGGGACTCAGGAGCCAGGCTCCTGCCCCCCTCCCATTCTGAACTTTCTCCTGCAAGTTCCTGGTTTCTAGACACTTCCCCCACGAGCACACTCCTGCTGTCTCCTGGGCTGAGAACCACCATATTGATTTTCCTTCGCAGAGTCTCTCCGGGTTCAGTGGGGCCAGCTGTTGGACTGTTTCTTTCACTCATACCCCTCAGAGCCATCTTTTCTGTTAGGAACTTCCGCCAGGAGACCATCTTCAGTTGGGTTCTCTCAGAACTGCCTTTCACAAATCCCAGGACACATTTGTGATTGGCACAGGCCAGACTACTAGATGTATGGAGTTCCCTCGGGGATGTGGAGGTGGCTGGATCGGCACTCTGGCTGCCTTGGAGCTAGGAATTCAGAACAGTTCTGCGTGAACAGTGGTCCCAAGGAGGAAGGATGGTGTGATAGACTGGAGTGAGGTCATTTACTGGCCTTGTGACAGGTCTCAGTGTGAGTGCAGGCTGTGAGTGCAGGCTTGTTACAAAGGTATTTCTATGCTTTCTGAGTTGAGGGACATTGTGTGTGAATTTTGGGAATGTTGAATGTGACATACTTTAGAGATATCCAGGGATCCCGAATAGGCAGTAGGGTATTCATCCTTGGGCCTGGGAAGGGCACTTGAATGACAAGATGTAGGGTTGCTGCCCAGGATGAACTGGCCTCTCTGTGGTTGGTTTGGAGTGACCATGAGCAGGAACCAGGGTGGGGAACATTCCCTCTCCCAACATTGGAGGGCAGGTGTTAGGACATATATCTAGAGAGTGATGTTCTGTTCCTGTACCAGATGTACCCCATCGTGGGGTGACACCCAGGGTGTGGTCAGTTCCAGGCTCTGACAGAGGATCTTGGCCAGACAAGGATGGGCATTTCTGAAGTACAGCTCTGTCCACTCGGAGTAGAGGAAAAAGGAATCTCAGCCCCCTTTCTGAATCTGGCCTTCCGTCTTTCTATGTGTGTGGCCTCGAGCGAGCCACACACCTGGTCTCTCCCTGTTTCCGAGGAGGTAAACCACAGATAGGGGCCGCATGGAGGACCAAATGATGTAGGGCTCATGAAGTAAGCTCCTGACAGAGGGAATACTAAGGGGAGGTAGCACCGGCCCCTCTGCCACTCACGCCAAGGGAGTCCCTGGGAAGTTTCCACCAACCCACCTGCTCAGCTCAGGTCACGTGTGTTGGGGTCTGGGTGTGTCTAGGCAGTCTGTCTGTTCACTCGGGTCCCCTGCTTAGCTCCTACCCAGCCTCCCCTTGGAAAATACCATGGCTCCCACCTGGCCACTGTTCCTGATCAGGTCCCACTGTCTCCTTGCTCAGACATAGCCTCCTCATGTCCACTTCTAGCCAAAGATACTGGGATTCTGAGTAGGAAACAGCAAGAGACTTGAACACCAAAACCCCAGTCTCGGCAGAACCTGAAATCCAACAATCACCCCACATAGATGGGCATGATTCCCGCCCCTGCCACACCACCAAGCCAGCTCACTTGGAAGTCTTCCAGTTGGGCCCAAAGAAAACTCTGTTTCTTTAAGAGCGTGTTTCGGATGGCTGAGGGTCTGTTCAGCCAGATCGGCTTGTCTAGCATGCACAAAGCCTAGGTTCCATCCCACCACCCATAAACTGGGTAAACCTAGCACTCAGGTCATAAAGCCAGGAGGATTAGAAGTTCAAGGCCATCCTCAGCTACGTAGAGAGTTCTAGGGTAGCCAGGACTACATGAGATCCTATCTCGAAAAAATTCATGTATTTCATTCAGGGCTGGGCTAGGTATGGCTCGGTGGTAGAGCATTTGCATGGTCAGCATTAGGTCCTAGGTTGGATCCCCAGCACTGCTGCATATATAATTCACAGGGAGGACTTGTGACGGACTAGTGTCTGTGGCCACCATGGGGGATGGGCAGTGGACACAAAGCATGATGTGCTTGGGGCCCAGTGGGAGAGGTCTTGTCTCCCCTGCTTATCCATCATCCAAGGTGATAGAGGGCAGCAGGCTCGAGTCATGTGGAGGTGACTGCTCCTGGGAGCCTGAGGGGGAAGAGCTGTGACAAGTTCGTAGACACTGAGGGACACTGAACCTCTGCGAGCTGCTGTCCACCTGAGCAAGGGGCAGGGGGCACCATTGGACATTCTGATTGAAGAAGCCCAACCAGCTCTGCCTTTGGGGCTCAATCCCCACTTCTAAAGAGCATCAGGAAGCCTAGGTGTTGGGCATTTTCTCATACCCTGGGTCTAAGGCTGAGTTAGCCTTGGGAGGTTTCAGCCTGTCACTGAGGAGGGGGGGATGATCTCAATTCTTTCAATGACCTGAGATTTCCTCCTTCCGACATCAGTATGAAAATGACATCAGCCTGGCTGGGTAATGGTGGTGACGCACACCTCTAATCCCAGCACTTGGGGCAGAGGCAGGTGGATCTCTGTGAGTTCAAGACCAACCTGTCCAGAACAGCCAAGGCTGTTCAGAGAAACCCTGTCTCAGAGGGGAAAGAAAAAGAGAGGGAGGAAGGGAGGGAGAGAGGGAGGGAGGAAGGGAGGAAGGAAGGAAGGAAGGAAGGAAGGACAAAAGAAAAGAAAATGTCAGCCTGTAGTTACTGAGCCCTGGAACCTGAACTGCAAAATGCACCTCCTTTATCCCTGGTCTTTCCTTCACAGGGCTGTTACACGGTGATTCTCAACACCTTCGAAACCTATGTCTACCTGGCTGGGGCCTTTGCCATTGGGGTGCTGGCTATTGAGGTGAGTAGGGCCCCCTGGGAAGAAGCCCTGGGGCCTGGACAGCCAGCCTACTTCCCAGATCCATGACTGCTGGCTGCTGCAAATGTCTGCTGCTGAAGAAATTCTTGTAGCCTGAAGTTATATGCCTGCCTGTCCCAGAAGAATAAAGACAGACAGGCCCTAAGGACACCCCACCTCACCCCAGCTCTGCAGCCCAAGTGCACTTTGTAGGACACCTGAGCTGCCTTGAAGGCTGAGGGCTTCCTGATAAGGCCCCGCCTTTGCAAGTGTTCGGGGTATCTTTTTAACTTGGCAGTGGAGCTTTAGTATTCTTCATCCCAAGGCCCCAACCACACACATCTGAGTGGCTGCTGACCCTTAAGCTACCACTAGGTGGTGCTTCAGCCTTCCCTTCTTACCACACCCTGCCCAGTTCTAGGATGCACTTTGGGACAATGAAGCCAGGCAGCTTGACGCTTGGCCCTTGCCTCCTGTTCTTCAGGGCCCTCATCAAGAGTGCTCTGGCCACCCGACACCCTGGATATCTACTGTTCAGAGTCCTCTGTGTCTTGTCTCTCGAGATAATGGTTCTGTGCAAGTCACAGGGGAAATGGAAGCAACATTCGTTAATTCCACAAGCATATGCCGAGCCCTTGCTATATGCTAGCAATGCTGGACGTGAGCAAGGCCTCCTGTGGGAACTAAAACCAACAGCAGGCACACAGATCTTCCTGAGGCTGGGTGACCGGGCACATTTCAAAAATGTGTCCAGTGCACATAGCTTTGCCTCGCTGTGGCCACAGGTCAAGGTCAGAGTGCTGTGACCTCTGCAGACCTCATCATGTCCCTGTGAAGTGGCTGAGGGTGCAGGGGCTAGAAGCAAGGGCTCTTGGGGCAGTGTGTCTTTGCTCACCAGCTTGGGCTACCCCACTAGAACTCTGTGACCTGAATCAGGTTGTGTGGCCTCCCTGTGCCTCACTTCCTGCTGGTTAGAAAAGCTGCTGACACAGAACTTAAAGCATACTTTACATGGTAAGCACTTGGGACACACTCGGGGCCCAAGAAGGGTCATGCTTCACTTAAAGTCTCTGCTGACCCGAGAAATACAGATGTGAGCTGCTTAACCAGATCACTTACTTTCCAAAGCCCACTTCTTAGACAGATGGCAAATACATGCTTGTTCTGGGCGGTGTCAAAAATCCTCTCAGGAAGCATGCTGGGTAGCCCCTCAGTGTGCACCAGCCTGACCCTGGATCACCTTCTTCCTTTCTTTGCAGCTTTTCCTCATGATCTTTGCCATGTGCCTCTTCCGGGGCATCCAGTAGGCCATGGTCTGAAGATACCCAGCCTGCCACTGCCCAGTAGCCAGCCCCCTCCCCTCCCTGTCCTCTGGCCCCAGGGGAGGAGGCAAGGCCAGCCTGGAAGGCCAGGAACACAGAGCTAATTTTTTAAAAAACAAAAACAAAGACAGATGTGAACTGAAGAGGCCTCACCTTGGCTCCAAGGCAAGAGCCATGAGCTAGTCAAGGACTTAGGGCTGGCCTGGGACCAGCTAAGACCAAAGGATTATCAGCCTCAGCGCCCCCAGGGCCCTGTCAGACTGGACTGTCCCCCGGTCTGGGTCCCCTCTCTTAGCATTTCCAGGATCTGAGCAACCAGAAGACAGAAACAGACCCTGGAGGAAGAGCCAGACTCTTCACAAGGACAGAATCTGCAGCACCACCTGCTGGACGGTGAAGCTGTGCCTGCTTCTTCTGGCTGAGGGTGGCTGTGTGTGGCCCTGGACCTGGCTTCCTCATCTCTCAGATCAAAGCCTCTCCAAGGGCCACAAAAGGGCAGTGACCTGCCCACAGTCACACAGCATGTGCATGACAAGGTCACCCCTGGGTTGCTGTCACTCCAGCCAAGACCCCATCAGATCTGCCTCAACATCCCAGTGTATACTGGCCAGGAACTGCCCACACCACGTTCTCCAGCTAAGAAAAGTCCATACTGTGTCCAGTCTGCCCTGCTTGTTCCTTTATCTAAGCCTACTGTCATCCGTCACTCTGGCCCCGGTGAGAGACACCCCCAGTATTGTCCATTTCTCTCTTTCCACTCGGAGCTGAAGCTTGAATGTGTTCTTCAAGGTCGCTGCCAAGAATTCACCCCCTGCAAACCTCCGCCCGAGGAGCTCACTACCTCCCAATGCAGCCTCTGGTGGCGCCAGCCCCTCAGAAGACAGAAGGGGGTTCAGTTTTCCTGTGCTTCTGTCTGTGTCCCTTCACTGTCTCCTTCCTAGAGGTTAAGGTCATAACTCTTGTCTGCAGACAAGAACCCCACAGCCTCTCAGTCATCCCCTACCATGACATCCTTTCTGTCCTTTTGCTGTCTGTGTGACATTCTGTTATTCTCTCTAGTCTCAAACTACCCAGACTCACAGGTTCACAACCAACACACACACACACACACACACACACACACACCTCAAACTACAGACTAGGTTGCCAACTGGGTTACAAGTTGCCCGACCCTGTCAGGACCATGTTGAACCCATTAGTGTTGTCTGTCAGGATCTCAAGTTTGACTCTGTCTGCTGTGGGCTCAGCAGGGTGGGGGGACACAGTGGTGGAGCAGCATGGGGCTTACTCTCCTCTCAGAGGGAAGAGCCTGGTCCAACTTCCCTCCGCCTTCCTGTCACCTCGGAGTCACACCCATACTGGAGCTCCCCTGCTGCCCTGTGCTAGTTCAAGGGACACTCCTTTCTTTCCTCTCCTCTTCATGTCCTCACCCACCCTGGCCTTCCTGAGGGTCTTGGAGCATCAAAGCTGTCTTTCTGCCAGCTTACTTGGCATCCCCATAAATGAAGCCTAGAGACTGAGTCACCATGTCAGGGGACCCCACCATGTACTGGACTCCAATTGCCTAGGAAGGCAAACGGATCAGCTCATGGCCCAGCTGAGCAGGACACAGCCCAACCACAGGGGCTGCTGCCCAGAGCTAACCCAGGCCTCTAGCAATGGGCAGGGACAAAGGCTGGGAAGTCTGCTATCTAGTTCAGGCAGTTCCAGGGTAGAACAGAGACTCTCACCAGGTGAACTTTCCATACAGATGTTGAAGAGCCCCAAGGCAGCCCAGATCCAACTCAGCTGTGGATCCAACTCCTCAACCAGCACCCTCATAGGACCGGACGGGGGGCAGGCAGTCTTCACCCTATGAGGTTGTTAATAGCCACCTACAAGGCTGTCTGCGGTCACTCTGCCGGGGCTTGGTGAGCTGCTGTGTACTTCCAGGGTAGGGGAAGGGAGCCCTTCCTTCACCTCTCACCCCAGGACCAACAGCCTCCCCTGAGATGCCCTGTGACCCTCATCCAGTAGAGAACGGCCCCTGCCTGACCCAGAGCCACCTGCTGAAGGGACAGCCCTATCCTACAGGCAGGGAGCGAAGACCGCATCTGTGGCCCACGCTCCTCAGCACTCTGTCCCAAGGCCCTGACTTACTCAGGCCCTGAGCCCAGCACCTCCAAGAACTGCACCTTTCTCCCTATCTTCCTCTCTCTCTCCCTCTCTCTCTCCCTCTCTCTCTCTCTCTCTCTCTCTCTCTCTCTCTCTCTCTCTCTCTCACACACACACACACACACACACACGTTATAGTCTATTTTGGAATCTGTAAATGTCCCGTGTAGTAGGAAACAGAGTTAATTTATCATTGTATCTCCCAAGCCCCCCTTTTATATTCTATATCAAGAAAAATTTTGTGATATAAACAGGACACCACACAAATCGTTCTGCACTGGTTTTTGTGACTGTTTCTTACAAAAAGAAAAAGGACTGAGGAATAAATAGTGACCATGACAGAGGCAGAAGCACAAGAGGAGCTGGGGCAACCAGGGCACCCTGGGTTTGGATTCAGGGTGGGGTTCCTATCTCCATTGCAGCATCCTTCCAAGCCTAGTGCCTCCCCAAGGCCACAGGCTTGTCTGTACACCAGCCTTGGTCTGGCCTTGACCCCACCCCCACCCCAGGGCAGGACCTTCCACCTCCTGTCACTGAGGGGAAGAACGGCAGAGTTCTCCAAAGGGCTGAACAAGGCTGGCATCTTCCACTTCTCTGACTACCTCCCTTGGAACTCTATCTGCATTCACAGAGGATTCAGGAGGATAGACCCCACCAGTGCTGAGAGCAGTCAACAATGCCACCCTCTCTACAGCAGCTGGGGCTGTACTGAGAGGTGGCAGTGGCTGGGCCTGTGCTCTGAGTCAAGAGGTGGGGCTGAGGGACTGGCACAAAGCCAACGACAGAAGATGGATGCACACGTTGGTCCCATCGTGAATGCACAGATTCTCACTCTGCCGTACCATGGCTGGGCATGTCTTCCACTAAAACTAACCAGGAGTCCCTCTGCTGGGCAAAGGTCATTGTCATGGGGCACTTGGCTGCAGGGCCAAATGAGCTCAGGGAAGCTGTGAGCCCAGGTGCCCTAGGGAAAGGCTCCCCAGGCACAGAGGCTCACTCCTCTGCAGAAGGGGAAGAGAAAGGCCTAAGCCACCCCTCTTACCCAGTGTGCTTGCTGCCAAAGGGAAGGAAAGTGCTGAGAGCTAGGACCAAGGGGAGGGGCCACATGGGCTGGTGTCACCAGTGGTGGCTTCAGCTCTAAGGGCCCACTGTCAGGGTGCTGAGCAAGGGCAAATCCACTTCTGTTTCCTTACTTCTATAGAATCTGAGGGGCTGTAGGCTCTGGAGGGGGTACTGAGCAGGCACTGAACCAGGTGTAGCCAACCATACAGGCCTTGGAGGCCATCCCAAGAAAATATCTCTGCTTTGCTTCCCTTCAGAATCCCTCACACACTAGGAGCCTATGGCTAGCTGAGGTGCCAAGGCCTGTCAGGGCCTGTGGTATACTGCTAATCCTGGCCTGTTGGGGAGGGGCTCTGGTGCTTTGGGGTGCAGGCAGCCAGTGTATCAGAACACTCTACAGCAGGCCAAAGAGCGGGTCAGGTATGCAGGCCAAGGAGGGGGAACCTAGACCCCATGGAGGCAGGCATTCCCCTTGCTAGCTGACCACAGTGGGGGCTCTGAAAACTGTGTGTGTGTGTGTGTGTGTGTGTGTGTGTGTGTGTGTGTGTGTGTGTGTGTGTTTGGGATGTGTGGACCCCATATAGGGACACGCAGTTTTCCGGTTTCTGGATGGAGAGAAGCTGAGACCTGCTGTTGGGGCTGGCACAATCTCCTGGAGAAAGAAGGGCTTCCTGGCAGAGGAACTAACCTTGACTCCGCCCAGACCCCAGCACTCCACTCCAGACTGTCTATTAGAGTCTGGAGGTCAAGAAGGCCAGGGCAAGCGGTTGTCCCTGTATGGGCTGAGGTGCCCCAGCCTGACTTATAACTCCTAGAAGCCCAGGAGGTCCAAGTTGACTCCAGGGAGTGCCTGGGAGGAAAGGAAGCTGCGTGCACCCTGCCAGCCTGCCTGGGGCCCATGGACAGTGACTTCCCCAGCCACTCTGGCCCAGCTCTAGGCCCAGGCAGGTCCCAGCCAGCTACACTTTCTTGGGTTTCCGGCCAACTTGGTAATAGTAGTAGATGCTGACAGCGACAAAGAGGAGGCGGCTGGCCAGGAGCAGCAGGGTCCCCAGGGACACGAGGCCTGTCTCCGCAAGTGTCGCAGTGACCACTGTGAAGGAAATCAGGGGAGCCAGAGGTCAGGAGCAGACATGTGCGCAAGTCCCTCCCACCATGGTGCTATGCTGAACACCCTCCTTCATCCTTGGGGCTGGGAGGCCTGGTTGACCTCGAGGAGCTCAACACCTGCCCCGTCCAGCTGACAGATACCTCTAGCCTGCTTCCCCCAAGAGGCAGCTGCCTAAGCAATGCACAGTCCTGAGTGTCTGTGCCTAAGGGAGGGACGTGAATTGTGGATCCCACAGGTGGGCTGTGGATTCAGGATAAGGTGTATATGTTGCAGGGAGTCCCCAGTGCTCTGCCCCTGTAGTGCACCCTATGCTACTCACCCAAGGACTGCACCCCAAAGTAGCAGGCCTCAGTGAGCAGAGTCCAGCGGATGATGGCCTTCTCGGCTGTGTAGAGTGCGTTCCACATGATCAGGGAGATGCCTGTCGGATCAGCACAGGGTCAGCCCGGGGGTCTGAACCTCCTTATCACAACACCCACCCCCTCTCCTGGTCATTGTCTCTGTAGACCCTGCTCTGCTCTTGAAGCTGTTGACATCTTTCTAAAGCCCCGTGCAACACAGAGCAGGCTCTCCTCCCTGGGACTTAATGTCTCCATCTACACAATGACTCCAGGACCTGCAGCTCCACGATAGCTCTGTTGTTGTGATGCTGTGTGGAGAGGTCTGGGAACTCAGTTACCTGGGCCTATAGCTTAGTGTCCCTAACAGAGGAGCCCTGGGAGACAGAGAAGAGAACTTGTGTCAGGAAGGACTTCCTCTGAGAGAGCAGGATAGGCCTTGATTTTAGTGGAAGACCAACTATGATGAACACCAGAGATGTGACCATAGTGTGCTCGGCTGATGGCAGCCTCCCTGCGGGCCATCTCCACCTCCACAACTGCTTTGCTCGCAGCAAGTTTAGGTCCGGCTGTCACGAGACTGGAGAAAGTGTGTGTGCAAAGGCCCGGGGGCGCTCTGAAACAGGAGTGTGCATCTTCCAGCATGCCTGCCGTTGAGACCCAACACATAGCACACAGGAAGCAGGCACAACGTGTGTGCCCAGACCCCACACAGGACCTTGACTGTCGTGCATAAATGCAGGACTTTGATCTGTATACAGTGGTAAGCCACAGAACGTTTTAGGGAAAGGAGCAATGGCCCCGTCCGTTGAACTTTTCAAGTTCAACTATAATTCGGACTCTTGTCAACTGTTGCATCCTCACATTAGGGAAGAAACCAAAGGCCCAAATGCACTGGGGATAAAGAAGACACTGTGCTGAGTCTGCCCTCCGCTAGGCTATGAGACTCTCGTAGGCAGGACCTGAGCTTCCTTCAGCTCTGCTCCTCAAAGCACACTGCAAGCAATTGTAGCCTCAATACTTCCAACTAACCATGTACATTCCACAAACGGCCACAAGGTGGCAGCCCATGCTCAGCACAGCCACCGATAAAGGGACGCAGGCTAGTAGCCTGCTGGGAAAGAAGGGAGGCTGTATAGGGATCCCCAAGGGTTCAGGTGTTGCCCTGAAGCCAGATGGGCCTCCCTACTCTCCCACCGTTGGCCCAGAATTACTCACTAAGGAGGGCACCACCGTACAGACGGATGGGGGTCTTGCTGGTGACTTCAGCCCCATCAAAAACTGCATCGTAGAGCTGGTCAGGGAGGGCGAGGGCCTGTGGGCAGCAGAGGATCGCAGGGTCAGCTCAGGGGCAGTCTAGGCTGAGATGAATGCTGGGGACAGCCTTCCTCCAAGGACATTGCCAGGGTTCCCATGGTAGGACCTGATTGCCCCCTCTCTGTGGTGCTGGTTGCTTTGGGGCACAGCACCCTGGGGAGGGCCAGAGTGCCAGCCCTAGTGATGGGGTACAGAAGCGGGGAGGGGGGCAAGGGTCACACCAGCCACTCTTCCCTCCATCTAAGTTTCAGGGGTCACCAGCTGACAAGCACCAGACCTGTCTGCAGCCAGGGCCGGGACACAAGGACTCACCATGATGGCCACACTGGAGAACAGCATAGCAGAGAGAAATTGCCAGACCCTGGTGGGAGGGGGTGCAGAGGGGAAGTTACAGTCACACTCTCCACCTGGACCCCAAGGGACACTCTGCAAGACCAGACACCAGGTCTGGGGAGAGATCCAGAGCAAGACCCAGTAATAACGTAAGACCCTACACATACCCAGGACACAAAACTATCAAAGCAAGAACTGCTACTCACCTGAGCCCCAGAGGCTCCCGAACAGCAAACTTGATCTCATTGCCCAAGACCTGGCTGATCTGTGGACACAGAAGTCAGAGGCTTCAGGGAAGGTGGCCTTCAGCATCCACCCACCCACCCTGGGTACACCCAGAACCAGCACGCCTCTGACTGACAGAGGTCTCCTCTCTGGCCTCTCCTGTCTCCCTTGGCACCCAGAAAGAGGACGCTGAGAGGAGGTGGTTCGGAAGGAAAGCTCAGGGTCTGCCCGCCATGGGCTAGAGGCCTGGTTCTGCCCATCGCTGACATAACTTCACGGAAGTTACTTAGTGTCTCTGCTTCCTCATCTCTGCGTTGGGTCAGTAAACAAAGAGACACCTTGCAGGGTCAGCAGGATCCACTCAAGTCTGTGCCTGTCCCCTAAGGAGCACTGGGTTCTTCCCACAAACTGCTGCCCCTATCCATATCATTCCGCTGCCATTGCAGAGGGTCCTAGAAGCACAGGGGAGCCGTAGGCCCCAGCAGGCCTGTGGCCTGGCCTCCTCTCCCTCGCGCGCGCGGCCCACCTTTGACCGGTGCACTTCGCCATCGTCATCCTCCCCGCCCACGCCCAGGATCTTCCTGGTCTTCAGGCGGCTCACAAGGTCCGTCTGGCTGTGCTTCTTCATGAGCGGAGGAGGCTGTTTGGCTGCCATGTTGTCCTTTGCTGAGGGACATGGGGAGACACTGGCCTCAGCCATCGTTCCTGCTGGACTTCCAGACCCCGGGTCCCAGTGCAAGGCGAGAAGGGTGTGGCCAGGCCCTACTAGAGCCTGAGAGAAGATGAAGCTGCAGCTGCCTCAGTTTCTTCTCCTGTAAAATGGGTTGAGGAGGATGCTGCCAACCTGGCCCCTATAGACATGGCACAGCCCAGGTGATTGGGTCAGACAAGGGCTTATGGTCAGCCCTTGAGCAGCATATGGGCTTTAGAAAAGGCATTTGGACCAGTTTGGATCTCACTGACAAGATTTATGCATCATAGAGACAAAAAAAGAAAAAAAAACACTTCAGAGGTAAGGACTGCCCAAGCCCTTCCTAAGGCCTAGGTTGTGGGCCACTGGACCTGTGCAGACAATCCCCATGGCCAGAAAGCCAGCCTGCTGGTCCTCCTGCCCCCAGACAGCCTCCCTCGCTGGCCAGGATCTAGGGAAGGAGACTATTTGTCATGTGGAATGGAGGCATTAAGCCCAGAGAACGAGGCTTCAGGTAGTGGTCATACCACCCAGAGCTCACCCACTCCTGGCTACCAGCATCCACAGACTCCACCCCATCCCGCATCTGCCCACCAGCATCCACAGACTCTACTCCATCCCGCATCTGCCCACCATCTTCCAGAGTCCCCAGCCTTGCAGGCCAGCGAAACCACAGGCCGATCCTGGGCACGTACTGTGAGATGGCAGTGAGCCAGGTGCTGAAATGGGCACTGGAGTCGGAGACGAATGTTCTTCTCCTGTGTTCAGTCCTTATAGTCTAGAAGGAGACAGAGTTGGGAGGAGTAACAAGGTGAGGCCCTGGCTGACCCTGTGTAGCCCAGAACTCTGCATCATAAGGCCCTGAAGGATGGGCGCAAATGAGGATGATTTCCCCCGGTGAGGAGAGCTCACCTGAAATGCACAGAGGCCAGCCAAACAAGAGGACAAAAGCATCCCAGCTAACCTGAGCACCAGCCGGTGCCAAGTGCCCTCTGCACCCCACATCTCACTTCCACTCACAGCACCCTCGAGCAAACTCATTCCAAGACACAGTTCAGAAGTTGTCTTTCCCCTCCAAGTCACCTGCTGCCCAGGGTCATGTCCCGGAGCACATGACACCCCAGGGAATGTCCCCAGATCACCCTAGTTCCTTTTCAAACCTGTCAGACTCTTGAAATGAAATAAGCCATCCTAACAAACAAGCAGTAGAAAGACACGGACTATGCACATCAGGGTGGAGCGCACACCTGAGAAGAGACTCAGTGGCTTTTGTTCAAAATGACAAAAAAGGTCACCACTGGGTCCCGGGCCCTGACACCCAGCCCCCTTGCAAAATCTGTGGCTGTGTTTTTCCTTCCTGTGCCTGCTGGGGGTGCTGGAGACACTGGCGGGGCCACAAAGGCTGCCTGTGCCCCTCAGCAGGCCTGAGGGAAGCAGGGGTGCCCCCCCAGTCACACTGTCCCAGGCAGGGCCCCAAATACTCAGCCCAGGTCACCATTTTCTTCTGACCCCAAACACCAGCATCTCTAGCCCTCCATTTAAGGGTGCAGAGCCCAGCCCAGACCACACCTCCTCTAAGGACGGGGATGCCAGTCCCTGGCCACATTTTCCCATGTCCCCTCCGACCCTTCTTTTTAATCCATGCCGATAATTCATGCCACTCCGTCAGGACACCGGTTCAGATGTCCGGACTGCAGTGGACGTGTGCGGTCCCAGCTATGCCCTGATCTCCACTTCCAGCAGTCGGATGTCTGTGACTCCAGTTTCATCCTGAACTTTCTCAAATGCTGCATAAACAGCTCATAAAGCATATGAGCGCCTGCCTGCCCAGCTTCTACCCACCAACAGGATGTCTTTTCCGACTCGCCTAGGCCCAGTGCCCCAAATGCCCACTCCTTCTTTGCGCACATCAGTACCCTGTGGGATGCTTGTACCACATGAGGGGCATCCGGTTGTTTCCCGACTTCCTTTGCGTGTATCTGGAGGGATCACACATTCCCGTGCCTCTGAGGTAAACGGGCCAGAGTGGGCCTGCTGAAGGGTATGGACAAAGTGAGAAGTCAGGACACCACCCGAGCCTTCTACAAAGCACATCCATTCCTGCCAACACTTGCTGTGGGCTGTTTCTATCTTAGCCCCATTCTCTGAGGCCCCTGGAGTCCAGCCAGGTATGAGGCTGCTCGACTCAGTCCTGCTGTGTCCCCACTAGTCTCGTGACCTTGGCTGAGTCACCCACCTCATTAATCTGAGCCTCAGTTTCCTCGTTTGTGAAATAGGACTTTAGCTCCAGCTTCCTAGAGGCCTTGAGACAATAAGAGAAATTGGGCCAGAGTATGCAGCAAGCAGCTGCACGGAAGAGAGCCCGTTCAGTGAGGCCCTGTGACAGCGTGGGCATGGGGCAACCGAGCTCAGCTGGTAGAGAATGGGGCGTCTTGTCACCAGCAGTTGGGGCAACCTAGTCCCCCTGTTCTCATCTGGGATATGGGGACAGCCACTCACCCTCACTCCCAACCCCACCTCAAGCTGGTCTAAGGAGAAGCAAGACCCTGGGCAGAGCCAAACTCAGAAAGTGACCACTGCCTCCACAGCCGGAGGGCTGCACACTTGCTGCATAGACTCACTTCTAGAATGTTCAATGGCTTAAGTAGCTTAACCCATCTGCTTAGCATCTGTGCCTCAGTCTCCCCATTCACGTGGGGGAAGAAGGAGCTAACTCACACAATGCTATAAGAAACATAGCAAGTCTGCGGTCAGTGTCTTGTCCTAGACTGTCCACTGAAGTTGAGTTACTAGATCACTACCCTCCCCAGCACATGCCCTACACTCTGGGTGGTGACTCTGGACTGAGAGGACAAGGAGACTGTCCTCATTAGCACCTTCCCGACCACATGGGACCAAGACCTCAGTGCCCTGTGCAAGACCAGCTCCAGCGTGTCCCTCCTTGTTGGGCTGGAAGCTTCTCAGCACTGTTTCCCTCTGTCCAATGCCTCACTCACACACACACACACACACACACACACACACACACACACACACACACAAAGAGTGGTCTTCTGGCCTCCCTCCCCACTCTTCCTTACCAAAGTCACTTGCCAAGGGTTCCAGGCCTGATATCATTGAATGTAAGTGAGGACACCTCCCCCACTCCATTCCTGGGAATCCTGGCCACACCTTGGCTTTGAGCCAATGAACCTGGCCTTGAATCTTGGCTCTACCTACTTACGAGCCTCAGGGCCTCAGTTTCCCTCAGTAAACTGGGAACAGGGATGCAGAAGAGCCAGTGAATACAGCCGTGTACCCTCCAGCCACCCACGGCCCTGCCCTGTCTGCCTTCCTGCTGCCCTCTGTCCAGACCCAGCCGAGCAGAGTGGAAAAGGCAGCTGGCACTCAGACCAGCCCGACTTCCTGCATGCTGCTCCGAGGGCCTCCACATCCCCACTGTGACCGTGGAAGCGGGAGGGGCGCCTAATTCTCCACCCTCAGGCTCAGATGTGTGAAGGAAAAGAGGTATCAATGAGGCCATGCCCTGTGTGCTGCCCCTGTCAAACTCCTTGGCAACCATCCCCACCAAGACAGCAACTCTCCATCAGTCACTCTGAGCCCTTGTCCAAGTGGGAAGATCCTCCCTGCTTGGCAGGAAGTTCTACCCTGCCCTCCTCCTCGGTGCTCGTCTCTGTGTTCATTTCTGGCCATTTACAACTCACGGACCATTGCTTCTCTTTCCCCAGGCCTCCCTAACTCTGAGAGCTGATGGGGCAGGCTCTCGATTCTTCCGTACATCTAAGCTACATGCAAGCCTGGGATCCATGGCAGAAGAGGGGCATGGAGGATGAGGGGTCACTCTCTAAGAGGCATGCACTTGAGACTAATGGTTTCATTGGGAGCTCTGGTATAATGGTTTGGATGATAGTGCCTTCCTGACCAGGGAAGTGGGTGTCTCAAGACAGGAAAAGGAAGATTCTTGGGGGTACAAGCCCAGAGGATGAGGAATGTCCCTTTTTTCTTTTTCTTTATCCTTCCTTCCTTCCTTCCTTCCTTCCTTCCTTCCTTTCTTTTTGAGTAAAGGTTTTCCTGAATAACCTTGGCTGTCCTAGAATTAAAACTGTGTAGACTAGGCTGGACTTGAACTCAAGACACACCGGTGCTGGGATTAAAGGAACATACTCTTAATGATTAGGAAAGCTTGGATTCAAACTTCAGCTCTTTCTCTTCACTGTACTGTGACCTCAGGAAAATTACTTAGCCTCTCTGAGCTTCTAAGTCCTCATCTAAGAAACTAAGCTGAGTCTACTCAGTAGGCCTGTGATGTATCATAAAGAGGGCAGCCTTGGAGCTGGGCCCCTGAACCGTGCACCACAGAGGATAGCAAAACACTGTGTTATTAATGAATTCCTAGCTACTAGAGTCAGCTCTGGGCAGCAGACCTGATGAGGCAGGGGCTCACACCTCCCATGCTCATCCTGGAGGACTTCCCCATCCTTCCCAGAAAGCCTGGTTACCATAGAAACCAATGGACTGCAGAGCTGTCCCAACAGGGAGGCTGTGCCCAGGAGGGCTGGCTTAGGAAACCTGCTGCCCTGGGAGGGGGAAGGGAGGAAGGGACCCAGAACACACAGCTGCTCAGGAGACTTCCCCTGAGTCAGTCACAGTCCGTCAGCCAGGGAGCCACTTCCTTCCCAGTGTGGGCAGAGGTGCAGCTGCATCTGCCCTCCTCCCAGTGAGAAGAGATCGGCCTACACGTCCAGCCTGAGCTGGGGACAGCAGCCAGCCACCACACATCCAACCTAGGACCCCCCTCAAGCCCACATTATTGCCTGTGACAACAGCCAGTTCCATTCCATTTTTCAGATGAGAACACTAAGGCCCAAGCAAGTTATTTATTCAAGAGTCCCTGGCTCGAAGGTGTGGCAGTTCGCTGTGAGCTGAGTGAGCTCTCACTGGATCTCCTGAGGGGGTCTAGGGAGGGGAGGTTGAGGACTGAATGTCTGTGTGTGTCTGCGTGAGTGCCTGGTAATGGAGTGTTCCTGGAACACACACACACAGCCAAACATAACTGAGCTTCAAGCTGTCTTCCAGAACACTCTCCCCTGGATGTCGTAGTGTGTCCCCAATGCTTAAAGAGCCCCCCTCCCTAGGACTGGCCTCTCTCGGGTTCAAGGCCTGTGATATGGGCAGGGCTCTGGGAACTAGCGCCGCAGATCAGACCCTATTGTTCCGTTATCGCTGCTGCAGAATAGCTGGAAGTGGGCCTGATCAGCACTGCTCGCAGTGAGGACAGCCAGAGGCAGAGTTCAGAGTTTGGAGGGCCTGGTCAGAGGGTAGACAGAGAAGACTCCGAGACTCCGAGCCCGGAGCCTCTTCTAGGGCACCCCAGGGACAAGATGGAAGTCTAGCCACCTTCTAGGAACCAGCTACTGGGACCCTGTGGCAAAGTGACCCACATCTCAGGTGTCACAGGGAGCAGAAGGTGAACGCACCACATTCCCACCCGACCCGGACTCAGGCAGGCCTGCTGCCGTGGAAGAGCCGTGTTCCCTGCACATGGGTGCCATGCCCCACCTACAAAGCCAAGGGCCGCAGAGCACGGGTGGGGCACGGGTAGCAGTACTGACACATATGATGTTCCCTGTGGCACGGTCTCCTTGGCCATCCTCCAGGCCCAAGCAAAGGGAGGACGGAGGGATGCTGCTGTACACAGCACCTGCTGGCAGCCTGGCGGCGCCTCGGGCCCCAGAGAACAACATTATTCTAGCATGCTGCCTAGGTGAACAGAGCAATGATGGTGGCTGTCCTGTCACCTCTTCCCAGCTCACTAAGCTGCTGTGAGAGGGGAGAAAGGCAGGATAACAAAGAAGGGAGCCAGCAGACAAAGACCATAATGTGAAATCCTTTAGCATGGCAGCCATGACAGACCCATCCCAGCGGCAAACTACGGAGTCCTTGCCAGGTTCTCTAAGCCTTCAGGAACCTGACCCTTGGATCTGGAGCCTCGGGGTTTGCCCTGCCACTAAGAGGTCAGGGTGCCCTGGGTCACTGTGCTTTCAAGGCACAGCTGGGGTCACTGGCATGATGGCCCAGGGCTTGCCTTCACAACTGGTTTCTGTGTAGAAGTTGGAAAATGTGGTGCTGAGGGCCGTCCCCAGTCTGACTAGGCAACCATGTAAGCACATTCATTTGTGTTTCAGCTTGGCCCTGCCCAGCCTCGGCAGCCCTTCCTCCTCCCCTACTACAGTGTGTAGATTTTATCTTCTCACTGGTCGGTCTGTGGAAGGTGGCTGACTTCCAGAGGGGCAGAGGGAAATACCTTGCTGAGCTGGAGAAGGTGGGTGAGGATCAGCCCTGGGAGCCACATCCCTGGGGCAGGGAGTGGGGGGGGGGTTGCGGGGAGGGCCTGGGGAGGGATTTCACCCAGCCATCTGAGACAGCAGCCCTATGCACACAGCCTCTCACCGCTCAGGAGTCATTGACAGGGCCTTTCCTGTCCTGCTGTCACTTGCAAAAGACAAGACACAGCATGGAGAATTACTGCCCTTTTCAACCCAGAGCAGGCCAGCCTTCCCAGAGTCTGGTGACCAGTCAGTGCCCTCAAGGGCAACTGACCCCATCATCCACCACGACAGCCCTGCCTCTAGTTCCCACAGAGCTGGGGCTCTGCTGTGAGTGGGCCCTTCCCCAGACCCCTCCCTGCTGCTCAACAACACAGAAGGGGCAACTGGGGGCTTCCTTAAAGGCATGCTTCATACCAAGCCAGTATCCTCAGACCAAATGGCCTAGAGCCCTGCTTCCAAGGGACCCCAGTTCAAGGCCGAGACTTGACTCCCCATACTCAGGTTCTGGCAGAGTGGTTAGCAAGGCAAGTGACTCCTCAAAAGGTCTGCATCCCGGCTCTGCCCGCACCACTGACCCCATGCTCCCAAGAACTTGTGTGGCCTTGGGAGAGGCCTCTCTGGGCCTCAATTTCCTCATCTGTTAAATGGGCATAATAATGACACTTACTTTCTCCCATTAGAAGTTGCCAACAAACACCCAGAATAGCTTACATTTTGTAGCCAGTTCTCAACAATGCCGCTGTTTAGACCTGAAGATTCAACTTCTTGGCCTCTTTTTCCCCTTTTACTAAAATAGTTTCTTTAGTAAAGCAGAATCCTTCCAGAATTCCATGCCCACACACATGAGTGTTCCAAAGAGGTTAGTATCAGGAAGAACTGGGGTAAGAAAGAATAGGGGTGACTCTGGGTAAGGACCAGCACACTGACAGGGGCAAGTGGGGAGAATCATGAGGGTATTGGGGAGACAGGGCGTTGGTGGCATCTCCCTGTCCCTGGCTGCTGTGGCTGTGCTGGGGATCTGGGGGTGAGGCTTTCCCACCTAGACTCAGAACACCATGGCCAACCTGTGGATGCCCCTCCTGGGGCGGGGGTAGCTTGCAGATCCTCTCTGAGCATCAATCCCCGCCCCTATGAGATGGGGGAGGGTCCCCATCCTTCCTCACCAGTGCTCTCCCCTGCCCCACCCCACAGGAGCAGCATGCTGCTGCCTCGGGCTCTCTGCACCAGTTATTCTGCAAGGTTGACTGGAACAGCAGCGCTGGCCACTCCTTAAAATGTCCTCAACAGTCCAACACTCTACACATTCCCCTGACCTCCACCCCACATTACAGAATTTGCTTTCTCCCTCGTTCTGAGACAAGGGTCTTCCTACATAGTCCAGTTTGATCTGGAACTCAAGCTCTTCCTGCCTCAGCCCTCTGGGTGCTGGGACAACTCCAAGGCATCCCCCATGACTGAATCTCTTATTTATTATTTATTTTCTTCTCCTTGCTTAAACCACAGGACCACCAAAGGGAAGCGTCATCACAGCTTCCACAGGTGTGCGGGGACCTGTGGGACCTGTGCCGGCCATGTGTGTCGTTACTTTTTTGTGTAGTACTCGCAGATACTTTAGGCAGTAAATGGACATACAGAAAACCTAAGAACAATGATTGAAGACCCTGTCCCTAGCCAGGAGCCTCAGGCCTTTCTCCAGCAGAGGGGGCTATCACAAGTCCAGCCTGGGAGCTGGAATGGTAGGAGCTGCGAGGTCGGGGGCAGGAAAGATAAAAGCGAAAAGCGGGGGACTTCAAGTGGAGGCAGCCAGACTAATGTCCTGCAAAGGGAAGTCAGTGTCATAGGACACTGTGACCAGAGGTTACTTTACGGGT